TCCTTCTCTCTCTCTCTCTCTCTCTCTCTCTCTTCTCTCTCTCTCTCTCTTCTCTCTCTCTCTCTCTTCTCTCTCTTTCTCTATTATCATTGTTTCTTCTTGTTGTTGTTATTGTTGTTGTTGCTGCTGCTGCCGCTGCTGCTGCTGCCCATACCGACACCGAGAAGAAAGCAGAGCCGCATAGTAGCACCCATATACACCCAGGGGACATTTCCCAGGTCGGCCGCATTCCATGACATGACGTCGTAGTACACGCGGGGGCCCAGCTCACGCAGAGAGTAGAGGTGGCCCAGGTCGGCGAGCAGCAGGACGGTCAGGACGACGGTCCAGACACGCATGTCTGTCGTGGAGCGGAGAACGAGGGCCTCATTCAGGGCGAAGAAGAGGTACATGTTTGCCAGCTGGGAGAGGGCCACGGATGTGGCTGTGGCTGTGGCTGCGGCGACGTCATCGGATGACGATGGGGGCGGGGACCCCAGCAGCTCGAGGTACTCTGCCTGACGAAAGTGGCTGTAGTAGGCGCCTACCAGGGCCGATAGGGGCTCGACGACGAGGAAGAAGAGCCTGTAGGGGAAGGGGAGACGGGAGCCGACTTTGGCCGTTGCGGTCGAGGCCATCATGTGTCTCGCGTGTGCAGATGGAGTGGTGTGTGTGTGTGTGTGTGCGTGTGTGCTCATACGATTACAGCTGGAAGGCTGAGGGTGGAACAGATACCTTCAGATGATAAGCTGTATCTTACTCAGGAGCATACCCTATAACAGTAGGTCGCGAACCCCGCTGACATGCAGATTGTCGGACGGTACGCATACACATGGTACGACGTGCGGCTTGTGCAGCTCGTATCATACATGCACTTTCCGATTCATGCTAGGATTCTTTTTTTTTTTTTTTTTTGCCTTTTTCTTTTTTCTTTTCTTTTCCTCTCTCAATCTTCTTCATGACTCGATGAAACCTGGGGAAATTTTTTTGGAGTTGTCGAGTACGGCTACATATGTACATGTGCTCCGTACGCATAGGCGACGACTAGTGAGTGGCCCAAGTCCCTACCGCCTCGTCTTTTTTTTTTCTTTTTTTTTTCTTGCGTCACGCTAATGTCTGTCAAAGAAGAGATTCCGAGCCAATGATGAAGCGACCTGATACACCAACGAGGGTGGCGATGTTCGACTACATATACATGCAAATGCTGCTAGCAATAATAATACTGTGTGTGAGATGTGAATTACGAGTAATCACGAGTTGGAGTTGCTAGTGGTTCGCCAACTGATACGAGGACGTGTACGGTATCCGGTATCGAAGCCAGTAACAGAGTCTACATGCTCTCCATCCAACTAACATGTATCGACCTTGCTGTACGTACTGATGATCCCCGTACCGTTTACCGATGTCGTACAGAGGTCGTCGTCCATCGTCCATCGCATAGAGTCTTAGCCGGTGGGGGCCAATGACAGAACTGAGCAGGCCCACAACCCCCTATCCCCTATTCCGTCCCTTATCCTGCCTATAGACGAATCCCCTGAGCCACTCCTCAAGTCCGCTGGGACTCCCTACGTAACCCGCTAATTACCTTGCAAACATCGTGAGGACCACCGGACTGTAGGCAGGACCACTAACCACACCACACCACCAACACCCCTAAATAATCACAATGCAGAATATTCCCCCAGACCCAGTCAAGCCTTTCCATCGGCACTCCCGCCTCGCATCTGTCCACCAAGCTGTCCAGTCTTGTCCACTCTTTTCTCTCCCCCCTCCCCTCCTCCCCTCCCCCCCCCCAAAAAAAAAAAAATCATGACGCTTCAGATCCAATTCATGGGGCCTTTTCTTTTCCTCTTTTGTCCGTCATTCCCATCTAACATTTCCCAAAAACTTTGTTTCATCTTATTCATTTATTCACTTTCTTTTCTTTAATCTCTCCTCTTAACTCAAGGGATCCCCGGTTCCTCCTCTGTTCCTTCTTCTTCTACTTCTCCCTCTTTTTCTTTTTTTTAAAAAAAAACAAAACATTCCTCCCTTTTAAAATTAAAACAATCCACTTCAGTCCATTTCACTTAAACGGTCACCTTGACGGAACATCCGCCTCACTCATTTGTGCCTCTGTTCTTCAGCGTCGATCCTTGTCGACAACAATAACCACCATCTGACAATCCATCGCAACTCAAAGTCTTTCCTTCTGTCCGCTTCTGTCCGACTCCACACACTTTTACCATTCTGTAAAACGACGTCGGTCCCCTCGTAACAGCCCTCCGCCTTTGTTTTGAAGCCCATCCAACAAACCCCCGGGTCCTCCAACCCCCAACCCCCCCCCCTCCTCCTGTTCTTCCCCGCGTCCCCTTGTCGACAATTTCTCTTCAAGAATATAAAAAGAAAAAACGGGAAAACACGCAGTATACGGAAACGTACGAGATCACCAAGGTATGGCTTTTCCCCTCCTCGCTGTCTCTCTCTCTCTCTCTCGCCCACGGCCACTTCCGTCGGTGGGCCGATATGGCCATCCCAGAGCTGCAGCTGACACTGAGACAAGTAATATTTCCAGCATTTTCTTCATCTCTTTTGCATCCGCACAGAGACAGGAAAAGAAAAGGAAACGCAGCAGAATACGACCTCTTGAAGAGATCTCTCCACGCGGGTGACGACGACAAACCATCGAGCCAGTACGTAAGCCATCCATCCTGCTTCGACCGTTCCCCTCACAAACACGCCCCCGAGACGACCGTTCGACGAATCGGCAAGAACAGCCCGACATGGGAGCGCGGGCTTTGGCCTCATCAGAGCAGCAGCGTATCATGGATGCCAATTCGGCCGCGGCCCAGCAGCTTCAGCAGGCCAGGGACAACCGTATGAGGAGTCTCAGCCTGTCGCTGCCATGGCGCCGTCCCAAGTCGACGACGCTCTCCCACGCCGCCGCAGACATGCCGGAGCTTCCCCAACAACTACTCTACGACGTGGCCGTTGAGGATGACGACCCGCTGGCCGCTAATGAGCCATCACGCTCCCACCTACGTCGCCTCAGCCACGGCCAGTCCCCGCACAGCTACCAGCAGCACCAGCAGCACCAGCAGCACCAGCATCACCCCGGCAGTGGCTTCAAGGGCATCTTTCGTAGAGCTTCAGTGTCCATTCGGGGCATCGTCCACCGCCGTCCGTCCTTGGCCGCCCCCAACGACACCCTGGGCGACAGCGACGCCGACGTTGCCCGTCCGATCACCGGCCGCCCCTTGACCTCCTACCCGGCATGGAACCGCTCCCGCTCGTCTTCGAACCGCCACGCCGTCCGTCCCTCACGGTCCTTCTACGGCCTCAATACGACGCACGAGCCCACCGCCATGCCGCCGCTCCCCCAGCAGCCCCAGCCCCAGCCCCAGCCCCAGTCCCAGCCCCAGGACGTCTCGCCGCTCTACTCCCCACGACCGGGCGTTGACGGTGAACCTCCGGTCATCCCCTACAACACTGGCGCCGCCGCTAAGGCGTCGGCGGCCATACAGAACGAGTACCTTGCCCGGCAGGGCCTGCAGAACCGCCGGCTCCAGCATCCGAGCGCCGCCAACAACGGCCTCGGTCTCGACAACAACGATGACGAGAGCGGTGTCGGCATCGCCGTCAGCGTCCCCGAGGCGGCCAAGGAGGACGCCCAGATTAGCAGGCTGGATTTCATCACCAAGCTGCCGACGGAGCTGGCCATCCACATCCTCGGCAACCTCGACGCCGCCGCCCTGGCGAAGGCTAGTCTCGTGTCCCGTGACTGGGGCGGCGTGGTGAGCAGCCAGCACGTCTGGAGGGAGTCGTGCTTGCGCGAGACGACGCGCACGTACGCCATGAGCGGTCCAATCAGACCCAATGTCGGTCTCGGCCTGCCCAGGAGCTCCCCCACAAGCGACTGGAGGCACATCTACCGCATCACCAAGGAGCTGCAGCAGAGGTGGAGGAAGGGGACCGCCAGGCCAACGTACCTGAATGGACACACGGACAGCATCTACTGCCTGCAGTTTGATGAGTACGCCCCC